AGTAAATATATATCGGAAATTTTATTTGACATAATCGAAAGTTCAAGTTTACTTTTATAAAATTGCTCTAACAGTCTGCAAAAAATAATAAGCTCGATCCAATTCGAAGATTAAGGAACAACGCAATCTGCAACAATAACTGAATTAGATAATTTTAGCTTAGCTTATACCGCCCGTCATACATTAAACGCGCATGCGTAAACGTATTATGCGCATGCGCACATGCATATTCACAGCCGTAAAGGTCTTACGCACACACGTAAATGCCTATGCGCATGCGTCCACGCGACGCATGTGCAGAAAGTTTATAGCTTTGAGGTCCGGATTATAGATCATTCCGGATTATGGGTGTCCGAATCAACGACTTTTGACTGTATTTGTAATCTTATTTTCTTCTCATAAAAAAAGGTAAATGGATATGAGGAGCTCTTGAAAGAATGTTCGGCTTAGGCCGAGACTGTCATATTTTAGACCTAACACATGAAAAATATGTGGTACAGTACAAGTCTTTAATCCGGGCTCGTCGAGACTTCGTCGATTCCGGAGTGGGGAGTTTTTCCGGATTATAGATCATCAATTTAAATCTGGTAAGATGGCATGCAGAAATTATAAAATTAAAAATATGAAACCATAATTTATGAAATAAAGAGCAATATGATGTAAAGGGTATAAAATTTACAAAAAAAAATTCTTAATACAGTCAAAAGTCTTTAATCCAGACTCGTCGGGACTTCGGTGATTCCGGATTATAAATCAGCAGTTTAAATCTGGTAAGATGGGATGCAGAAATTATGAAATTAAAAATATGAAACCGTAATTTATGAAATAAGGAACCATTATGATCTAAAGAGTATCAAAATTTACAAAAAAAAAAAAAAAAACTTAATATTTATTTGTTTACTTTATTAAACATTTCTTTCAAAGCGCGCATGCGTAAAGCATACATTACACATAGTTGCAATTGGGAAATTGCAACCAGAAAACTATTTGATGTATACTCGTGATATTTATAATGATGAGGAATTTGATTTAAATCATATCAAAGACGGAGTACATCGAGATGAAATACTACAATCAGTAAGGAATTATAAGCTGAATAAAATAAAAACATCTGCCCTGAAGATAAAGATAGTGCTGACAGAGCAACTTCCAGCTCATTGCATACTACGACGATCCCCCCCCCCCCACAGAGCAGCGTGAAATTGATAAACATGATGCAAAAGCAAAGTTTAAAGTTGTAAAATTAAACATTTAGCAGCAGTAGCAATAGAAGCTCCCTAAGGTTATGTGTTGTGCAGACATTGAAGACAATAAAAGGTTTTTAAACTTAACCAATTTATTAACAATATATATAAATAAAAACATAATGAATAAATTTAAACAATATCAGAAACTTGGAAAAAAATATAACAATCAATTTTAAAAAAATTTCATATATTAAATAATATTTTACCTGATCTCCAAAATACTGGCATTCAATACGCGAAAAACGTATCCTAAATAGAAATTATGCGGTTTTAATGAAATTAGCTACACTATCAATAAGTCCATGCTTAATGGTCAAAAAGGCACCTTAAAATTAAATTAAATCCTTGAGAGCTCTTAAAACTGGCCTAACGCCGCTCACTGTAGTTAAACACAAGGAATCACAGCTTAGAAGAAAAACATTGCCGCTAACTTGTATGAAATGCCGCCTTCATGAAGAACATGGATGCCGCCCACGGCAGTCACTCACATCGTAGCCTCTTTTGAGAATCCAGGAAAAGTCATCTTGTAGACTGGAACGACAAAACTTATCACCGAAAAAGTCATCTTGTAGACTGGAACCACAGAACTTATCCAGGAAAAGTCATCTTGTAGACTGGAACCACGGAACTTATCCAGGAAAAGTCATCTTGTAGACTGGAACCACGGCACTTATCACCGGACTGCACGCATCGCAAGACGTCTTCCAATAGGGGCTGGAAACTGCACACCAAGGAGCCAAGAAAACAGGAACTAGAAGGAATGAGCCAGAGCGACGCGAGATACTTATACCTGAAGTAGACATGGCGTCATCTCACGGCAACCAATCAGCTAACGACACTACTCGGCTTTCCAGATGACATAACATCAAGTTTCGTTTGTGCATCTTAATTAGGCTGAAACAATCCGTTCTTAATACCAACAGTGGCAGTGAAAAACAAAGTAACTACTATATCCCTTTAAAATAAGAACTAAACTAGATGTTCTATATATAACTTATGTAAAAGTTAGAATCATTTCAAGAAGGAGAGATGATGCAGAAAAAGGGTTACAGTAGGTCATATTTTCCAACAAAACAGATTTCGGAATGGTTAGAGAAAAAGGATATGCCTTTATCCATTTTTTGCAGCAATTCCACTTTTTCTTTGATGGACATCGAAACATACTTTCTCTTTGTAGATCGTTTACGTATTAGTAAATATATATCGGAAATTTTATTTGACATATTCGAAAGTTCAAGCTTACTTTTATAAAATTGCTCTAACAGTCTGCAAAAAATAATAAGCCGGATTCAATTCGAAGATTAAGGAACAACGCAATCTGCGACATTAACTGAAATAGATAATTAGATAATTTTAGCTTATACTGTCCATTATACATTAAATGCGCATGCATAAATGTATTATGCGCATGCACACATGCATATGCGCAGTCGTAAAGGTCTTATGCGCATGCGTAAATGCCTAGGCGCAACGCTTGCGCAGAAAGTTTGTAGCTTTGAGGTCTGGATTATGTGTCATAGGAAAAATTTCAGAAAATTTGAAGTTTTAAATGCAAATTTCAAAATTAATATGAGAGCTTGGAAAAATTTTTTGTGTATGTTCATTTGTTAGATCAACACTATATATAAATCTAACATTTATCTTATAATGTGCTTTTGAGATGTGAAAAATATTCAGAATTATTCAATCAGCCAACTAGAATGGGAGATGCAGCACTGTACCATTTTTTTTTTTTTTTTTTTACTCTGGAATACCTGATAGTTTGTTGAGTGGCAATAATATAACAAATGGACATATATAAAGCATTATCATGTTGGAGTAACACACACTGTCTTCTTCAGTATTTATAACAGAGGGAATTAGGAAAATAACTATTCATTGACAGAAGAATTTTTGTGTAACTGGGAGGCAGAAATCTCTGGATTCAAGAAAATGCTTCCCATTTGCATCTGGAGGAGCACTCTAGGATTTTTTTTTTCTGGTATTACATGTTAAATTTATCTATTGTAAATTCTCTTACTAAATAGCCTGCACTATTAACACATTTTGGGCATGTACATATATCTGCTAATAATCCTGTACTCAGACTGTACTATATTATATGCTATTTTTTCATATTTTAAGTGATGTAAAAAATCTGGAGTTATGAAATAGATGTTATTCTCCAAATGAATCAAGCTTTATGCTTTATATAAAAGGAATAACATGCATGTAAGAAACTATTATCATAGAAGGTACAGAGAAATAAAATTCAAAAGACAATATTTAAAGCTATTTATTGGAGGAAAATAGAATTAATTATATTTATGACAGTTTGTTTAAGGGCATGCCATATATTTAGTACAGTTTGCTTGTAAATTGATGCCATTTAATTTTAGAAATAGAAAAATACGGGAAATAGAATGATACTAAAGTTCAGTAAAATCTCAATTCACCATTCAAATAGATTTTAAGTATTAGGTTTTGCTAACATCAGTCTCTTTGAAGTGTTTAAGAAAATTGTAAGCTGACGTATTTATTAAATAATTAGAAAATATGATAAATATTTGTGGGAAAATATGACTGTATGCATTTTGTGCCAGAAATGCATATTTATACTTCATAACCAGAAATGAATACATGCCATCCTCTCGGACTTTTAATCAGAAACAAAAGAAGTTGAAAATTATTGCCAAGTTAGTAAAACTGCTAAAAAAATTGGTTTAATGAATAAAATGCATTTGCAATATTCTGTGGTCTTATTAACATCAAAGTTTGCATCATTATTAGATGATGCCTTTAAGGCACAAAGAATTCTATGAAATTTAAAAAATTAATAAAATGTTATTAGTGTTGTTGCAGTTATTTAAAAAAAAAAGTTAGATTCTACATGCCAAACCCTAAAACTACTGGGCACTGATAATTTGACCTGGTTCTAAAGCATGGCTGAAGGAAATTTTGTGTAGTTTCACCAATGCATGACATGCATGCAAGCCAGTTTCCCTTAAAAAGTTCCACCCGAAAGCATCCATCTCCTTAGGGAAGTGACATTAGGCTGCTTTGTCATAATCTAAATAATCCAAGACAAATTTAATCCATAATCACACAATGCCATATACAAAATGCAATTTTTATAAATGAAATATTTTGATGTGCTAATCTGTTTTTCTGTTCATTGAGTAATGTAATCCATGTTCTTGTTATAAAGTATTTGATTATGTTTGAAATATCATAAGGGATATTACTTCTGTTATGTCATTTTATTTTACTTGTCTCATTGTAATAAGTTCACTGAAAAATAATCTTTCACCTTGTGTGAATAATAGTTCCATAAAACTGTAATTTACCATAGGCTGACTTTCTGTGATGTTTAATAATATTTTAGTGCAGACTAATTTTCTAAAAAAAATTTTAAAAAAAATGTGCACTGTTTTAATCTTTGGTTCAGTGAAATCCACTATTTTATTAGGAAGGGGGAAAATTTCTCTATATTGTTTTTATTATTGCATAAAATTTAAAAATTGGTTTTTGAAAATGTTTGTATTACATTAGTGATGTGATAACTGAATAAGTGAAGCCAGAATTGTTGCATATAATTCAAATCTAATATCCAGCCTGTAATTTTTGAGGAAATATTACTTGTTTCAGATTTATTTAAGATCTCTCTATCTTAGGATCTTGTAGCTTTTAATTTAACTTTATTGGCCTGATGAAAACTTCAGACGTTTCTTATTTTGTATGAGTATTTTTGCCTGAATTAAATTTTTCTTTCAGAAACTGAGGCTATAGCTGGAAGTCATCTTTCTCGGCCACCGCATAACTTATCATGCTATCACTGCAGCACGTTAAATGATGGAGAATCATGTCGTGATCTGAAACTCAACAACACAGAAAACCAAAGATCATGCAAGCCAAATCAAATGTTTTGTTCTGTAAGAAATATATATTTTTAAAAATGTTGTTTACCTTTAAGTATGAAAATAGTAAATAGGTAGAAACGAAGTGCTTTCCTCTAAATTCATGTAATTGTTAATCTAATATTTTTCAAAAAACTCGCATTTGCATTTTGTTTAATATTTATACTTGAAATTTTACCTTCAATCTGTCTGCTCGAGAAAAGGTGGTTTAATTTCTTCATTTACTTTTACACTTTTATCAAATGTTTGCAATTACATTCTCCCATAAAGCAAAATCTGCTGTTTATGGTAAGCAGACATTTCTACATATAATCCTCCTACATCTAGTATAGTAAATTAGAAAAATTGAGTTTTTTGTTTTAGTTTAAAAATTTTTCTGAACCACCTTTTGTTGAAGGAAGAATGCCAATGAGTGTTAAAAATCAGAGTTATATGAGATGCAGAAGGAAACTTGTAACTGAGGAAGTTAAAGGAAGTAGATGAATTTTGTATTCACTATCTTTCACTATTTTAGAGTTTTCCCATTTTATTTTAGTAAATTTTTTGTGAAGAAATAAAAGAGAATTTGCTTTCAGAATTAAATTAACTTGCTCTGAAATAAGACTGCTCTAATCCAAAAGAGGTTGGACATAATCATTCAAATGTTCAAAGCTTATTTCAATTAAATGTGATCTCACTCTTTCAAGAGAGCCAGAAAATAGAGCTTCACAGTCATGATACAAGTCCCTTTTCTATTCATACGAATTAGCATATGAATGGAGAAGGGACTTATGTCTTGATTGAGGTGCTCTGATACATAATGATCATGCATTTCCAGTGCATAATATCTCTTTTGTTAACTTCATGTGAAAAAAATTATATGCTAGATAATTTTTGAAGTTTATAAATTTCCAAGCACATATTGAAAAATTTGTTTTTGATACTTGCAGATATTTTCATAAGAAAGTTTGAAGAACTTATTTGTAACATCTGTTTAGTATTTTAACTCCTTTTATTAATATTATATTTGAAGGTGATCATCAGGAATAAAGTTTTTTTGCATTGCTGCTTTTTATTACCTTTAGTATATCAAATGTTACGTCATGTAATAATGTTGTTCACAAAATTTGTAAGCAATATTATACGTGATGAACAAATTGTTCATTTTATTTATAATTGGATAATCAGTTTAATTTTTATGATAAAAATGATTTAATATAAAATTCTTTTGATTTTTTGATATAAGAAGTTTAACTTTTTTCCCTGTAGGTTGTTTTATTTAGATATTCTACAGATTCTAGTGAGTATATATTTTGGTCTGTGGAACGAAGCTGCGAGGAAACTTGTCAGGAAGGTTGTAATACTGTTGGAGAACGAGTGAAACTTTTCCTTTGTCGATCATGTTGTAATAAATATTTATGTAACTATGGTAATACAGCTCTAAAATCCACTACACCAGATGAAAATTATGTGATCTTAATGACGGGAATGGCCCTGTATAGATATTTTTCATTTTTTAAAAGTTTTGAAACTCTGTTATGGAATTAACTTTCTGAGGCACTAGAAATAAAAATGTTATTTTATGGATACATATTTCCCATTATTGATATGAAAGTGTATCAAATATCTTTATAATTATACTATCTGTTTTCTTTTTAAGGATAAGAATAGCTCTACAGACTTTCTGTGTGCATATTGAAATGCATTTATATCTAAATAGTACAATTTATTTAATTTTTATACTCTGATCTAATTAACAGAACTAAAATTCCAGAATTTCTAGCTGTTATGAACAACAGCCTTTTAGTACTTCTGTGAGCTGATCAGTTTTGTTTTTAGTATGTATTAGGTTCTTGCAGAAGTTCAGCTTGTTTACTTACCTGTCAGAAAATAACCATGCCTGTTCATTTTCCAACTCTTTCAATGTTTGGGTTAAGAACCTTTTAGTGAAATTCTTGCAACTTATCATTCTTAAAATCTTTCAGTCTTCCTAAATGTCATTAACAAATTCATCATCTCTAAACTTTTAAATCATTTGGTTTTACAGATGATTTTATTTTTATAGCATTTTTTGTTGTTGTTGTTGTTAAATAGGTTTATAGTGGCACAGATACACCAAGTTCCGTTGTAGAATGTTAGGATCTTATCAAATTTATAAATCTCTATTTAAAAAGAAAGACAAATGAAAAGAAATTACCATTTACTTTAATTTCTTCTCATTTACAATCTAGTAAACTTTTGCAAGTACCCAATACCAGCATATTATGAAAATTGGATTTGCCACCTTTTCATGGATATAAAGATTGGATAAGGAGAAAATAAACGTTTATACAATACTGGAAGCACTATAATAATGGTATGGAAATGATTTCAAATCATTCATTCCAGCTTTTGCATATGAATGGTTTGAAAAGATAACTAATTCTTGAACCCAAAATTCATTCATATTTATAGAATACATTTTCCATTTCTTGAGGAGCATAATATTAAATAAGAGAAAAGCAAATTAGCATAGAACTTGAATATATATATTTCTAATTGTGCACAGAGTTTCATAAATCTGTATTTTCAGCTTTAATTTAAAAGTACAAAATATTTGTCTTGTTTTCTGCATTGAATTTTTTATTATTATTATTTTTGTAAATAGGATTTTCTAAACAAATGTTATTAAAACTTAATATTGCATATCTTTACCAAATATTTTTTAATACTTCAAGAGAAGTAACTGGTTCTGTATTTGTTGCATTGCTACTTTTTTTTTTTTTTTTAGAATATACTTTTTTTCCTTTGTTCTCTTTCCTTTGCTATAATCATTTTATCTTGTTGTGACTACAGTTTTAAATGCATCATTGCATACAACTTACTATTTTTTTATATGGATTGCTGCTTCATTTTCTATATTGTAAGTACACTTTTTTCATTTTATCATAAATACATTTTGATTTATCATCTAATAATTTTGCCTTCATATGAGTTATGTGTTTACTTTATATTAAGAAACAGTTTATGACTTTGAGATCTAAGAGATAAAGCTGGCTTGTACAATTTGTTGAAAATAAAGCCAATTCTCTGTTTATTATTTATATTTTAAGAAGAACAAGACTTATATCAAGAAACAAAGAATTATATCAAGAAACAAAGAATTATTATTTTTAAGGCAATTTTTACTGTCAAGAACTAACATTTCTTTGCTAAGAACTGATACCATCCATGCATTAGATTTTTCTTTATGATTTGTTGCAATTCATTTTTTTTTTTTTTTTTTTTTTTTTTTTTTCATTTTTGAAGCAATTTGATTTATGCCATTTCCTAGCACCTGTATGTAAAAGCTATAGTTAGTCATTTCTGTCTGATTTATGTATAAACATAAATGTTACCTATAATAATTTTTATAAAGCTTAATAGTTTCATCTAAAATGTACATTTATGTATGCAGAGTTCATGGAAAATATTTTCTGATCAAATCATTAGTTTATTCATTGTAAAATTTCAACTCTGTTACATTGTTCGAATTCATTCAGCGGAATTGTAGTGAAGTTAATGTAAAGTTCATAAAAAATGTCAGATTTTTTTTAACCCTTCGGAATTCTTCATAATTCTTTTCTTTGCTAAGAATGTCAAAAAAAAAAGTGATCTTCATTTCTCATATCATTAACAGAATTTTGCATTTTTTTTATATTAGTGTTTCAGCAGTTCCTATTTGTTACATACTCTGATTATTATGTTTTAGCTTAACACTGTTAAACATGTCTGTTTTAATTAGAAATTTTATTTATGTTTGATCATTATACACTTAATATTTATATTGTTTGTGATTAATTTTTTAATTTACACAGTACTTATATTGTGTCATAATGCATCTTTTTGTATACGCATTTTTTAATGTGTGTGCTTTTACTTCACAACTGTGTATAGCTACAACTAGTCTCAAGTCTGCATCTTTATTAAATATAGGTATTAGTTATTGTTGAATTGTACTAATGCTTAACTATATTTGAAAATGTATTATTAAAAGTCAATTTAAAACTATTTAGTCCTGTGTATCTATATATATAAAAGCAGATTTAAGCTAGTTGTAATAGATTTATTTTATAAGTTTTTTTTGGGGGGGGGGAATTATTATGCAGAAATGTAATATAATATATAAAAATCTGCATGTAATATCAGTCTGCATATAATATGTGTCTTTCTGCATATGTGTGTTAATATATTTATTTCATGCATTATTTTCATTGTTAGCTCTGTGATTTTCTAGAACTATTGAAAGGGTCAAAAGAATTTACTTTTTCTGCTTTGGTAGAAGATAAGTGTATGTTAATCATTGATAACAAAGCATTATTACTGAAAATCATTATATTAACATTAGCATTATTACTGAAAATCATTAGTATTCTTAAAGAAAATGCTAAGTTAATAGTGAGTCAGTACAGTACATCTTAGTTTGCAGTTAACTTTTTAATTTCAAAGATTTGTAGAGCAGGTTAAAAAAGTATTTTTGAAATCTAAAAAAATAATCTCTGTTTTATGTGCATTATTATTATGCATTTATCCAAATTAAATGAAGACAACCATTTCTAGCATTGATTTTTTTTCGGATATCTGATGATCAATCTCATTTTCATCACTTTAGCTTATTTTTATATTTCTTCTGTTTGATGAATTTATTTTTGAATATATTTTAAATAAAATAACCTTCAAAATTTTTCTTTATTATTTATTTATTTATTTATTTATTTATTTATATTTAATTTAAATCACTTAAAGAAAATTGTATTCATCTGTAATTATCAAAATATGTATTATCTTTTTATTTATTATTTTTATTTGTTGCTATTTTTGTTATTATTCGTTTTTATTTTGTTACATTTTAACTTATTATTTCTTTTTTATTTTTATAACTTATTTGATTTATTTATAGTCCCACGAGTTGAGAAAATGCATGATGAAAGCAATAATATGTTTATAATTTTTTAAATGCAGAACATACAAATGAAAATATACAATTAAAAAAACTTATACTATCTTACAAATTAGCATGTGTTTCTAATTTCAGAAATCAATGGTAAATGCTAGATTTCCTTATTAAAGAAAAAAAGTTGTTTAAAATGTATATAAAGTTTCTTTTTTAAAAGTAATTTGAGTTTTTGATGATTCCCTTTTTGCTAATTTTTTCACTTTCAATGAAATCTTTTCTATACTTTGGAAATTCAAATTATATAATCTAGTGTTCCTCAGAATGTGTGTCATGAAATAATAACTGTACAGTTTTAATTGTGTAGAACCTTGGAGTCTGGGGGGATGGCAGAGTAATAATTATGCAGGCATGCTGCCACCAGGCATGGTTCTTGAGAGATTTGGATACCAAAGGTATGTTTTTAGTTGTAATAGCTTTAGCAGATTTCCTAGCTGATGTAAAAAACCCACGATTAACATTTTTTGACCACCTTAGACCACCAATTAGACTATTTTGTGTAGTCTCTGACTACTTTACCTGAATTTTAATTTCAATTTATGTTATTTTGTATAACCATAAGTGGTGAATTTTATTTGTAAACATAAATGGTGTCTTCCTTTAAATTTAAAGAGTTAGTAAAAATGTTTTTTTAACCTTTGGAGGACCTTTTTCATCTTAATTTAGACTGGTATGTTAACTTCACTTGTCTGTTTGGTAAGGTTTGATGGACATTGATTTAAATATTTATGCAAGTAGAACCGTGCAGGGTACTGGTGTATTATGAAGTCTCAGAAGTTGTGTTGAAAAATTTGAATTTAAGTACAAGTTTTAAAAATTTATACCATTTCCAGTGCCTAACTTGTGTAAATCACAATTTATACAGTGAAAATAGGAAAATGTGGACACTTTAAAGGATTGGTACTTTTTTAAGTTGGTCTTTACTTTAGTCTGTCAGCTGTAAGATACATCATAATAAATTCTCTGGAAAACACCAAGCACAGCCTTAATATTAATTGAGGAGTGTTAATATAACAACAAATAACACAGGAAATGCTAGACTATGTTTGATGTCAGATAGATGACAATTCCGGATAGTTGAGTATATAAAAAATACAGTTGTCAATAGGATAGAAGAAATTTCTGGTCCAAAATTCTAAAAGCTCTCATTTTATATGTTGTCAAGAGAATTACCAGCTCTGAATATCAAAAGCCTGCATTAAATTAAGTGAGATTATGAAGTGGGATGTATTTCTGATAAATGTGATCTTGCATGAAAGTAGAACATCTTACCTGATTGCAGTTATTCCCGGACTTGCATAATATATTACTTATGTAAATTTGCAGTTATGTACATATGAAAAAGCCATAATAATTAACCTACCAGCTAGAAACTTTAGTAGTCTTCCATAAACAATTTTTCCTTTCCCTGACTGTACTTTTCCATTTAAACCATATTCTCTGAGTTAGTTTATTAGCATTGGTGTCAATTATTTATTTATTTGTAAAGTAGATTTTAAATCAAAAAGTGAATATGTTGGTAATCTGAAACTATTTTTACACTATTATTTTAGAAAAAAAGTAAAAAAGAAAAAAGGTTCCCCCACATCAAGAGGGAAAATTTATTTTTACAATAAT